TTTCCTTTCCTTTCCTTTCCTTTCCTTTCCTTTCCTTTCCTTTCCTTCCCTTCCCTTCCCTTCCCTTCCCTTCCCTTCCCTTCCCTTCCCTTTCCTTTCCTTTCCTTTCCTTTCCTTTCCTTTTTCCTTTTTCCTTTTCAAGACAGGATTTATCTCCACAACTCTGGTTAGCCTGGAACTCACTATGCATATATATCATATGTCAACAGGCTAGCCTCAAACTCACAGAGATCTACTGGCCTCTACCTCCTGAGTGCTGGGATTAAAGGTATGTGCCACCACACCCTGCTCAAACTTCAAGTAACAAAACTTAAAAATTAAGCTTACTGGGGACTGGTGGTATAGCTGAGTGGTAAATACTCACCTAGCATGTTTGAGACCTTGTATTTGATCACCCCATCACCACCAAAAAATAAGAAAATAATAATTCCAGTAAATACAGGTTACCAGGGTCAGAGGTGGAGTGTAGAATTCTTGTTGAACTGGCCCAGAATGTCGGTCTGAGATGTAGAATACATTCTGGGAACAGGTAGAAGAAATGGCTAGACAACACAGTGAATGTATTTAATAATTTAAAATTTTTGGGGTGTGTATATGTGTCTATGATACACATGTGCCTACTAAGGAAGCATGTGAAAGCCAGAAGACAATTTGTAAGGAGTTTGCTTCCATCATGTGCGTTCCAGTGATCAAGCTTAAATTATCAGGCTTGGTGGCAAAAGCCCTTCTCTGTTGTGCTATCTTTGTTGGCCCTGTACATAAAAACTTTAAATTGTGTTTTGAGGCTAATTATGATATATTACCATTAATTTTTAAAATTAATAACGAGGAATTCAAAGCAATTTAACTGCATGCTCTAAATAAGTGGATTTTATAATATTTGAATTACCATGATTCTATTAATAAATTTCTGGCTACAGGTTTTATTTGACAGGTTAGTTAGTTAGTACTCATAGGGGTGGGAAGGCCTGGGAAAACAGGCTCTTAAGGCTCTGATCTCCATGGATCATTAAGGCCTGATTCATGTATATTCCAGAAAAGAAGGAATCTGTAAATCTTGAAACAGCAACGAGGCTCGGGAATCTTCCTCTTATCACTGCCATTCAATACCATGATGGTTCATATGTCATCAGCATAGAACCAACTCACAAATAAGTTCACTGAGAAATTAAACCCTTAGTACCAGGGACTTTAAACAAAGCTATCTAATGCTGTCTGACACAGTAGCTGCTAGCTACTTGTGGCTTCTCAGCATTTACAATGTAGTTAGACAAAGCAGAGATTTTGTAAAGAGCAAAAGACACATATCTGAAAGAGTAGAACAAAACCCAAATAACTAATATTTCACTAATAATTTTTCCAGATTATCTATACTGGTTGCAAGTAAAATAGATCCAATCAAAGAGGGTATTGTGATGGAGGTTCCAGTACATATATAGAGGAACTACTAGCTCTTTCTTTGGTTGTTTTAAACTACTGCACCTCAAGCATCCTTTACCAATGAAACTCACAGTGGGAAGTCAGGTAATTCCCGCCAATGGCTCTAGGCTAGTTATGGCTACCTTAATGCTCACAGTCCCTGAACAGCAGACAGTACCAGGTTCCTGAAACTAAAGTGTTGCCTAACCAGTGACCACTGATTGCAAACCTCCTCTTCATTCCCTATAGTTGATGTCCCAACTGGGTTATAAGAAAGGGGAAGAAGAAGCAAAGATAATGACAAAGCAAAATCTAGAGTTGAATTCCCCATCATTAAATTTTTATTTAGTATACATTGTTTCATTGATTATACATTCCTTCCTTCTTTACATTCTCTTTGGATGGATTCTTTTTTTACTTTTTCTTCAACAACTTCATAATGTTAATAATGTACTCTAACCAAGGACCATGCATGGAGATAACTTAGATCCCCTGCACAGATGAAGTCCATGACAGCTCAGTCTCCAAGTGTGTTCCCTACTAAGGGAAATAAGGACTGTCTCTGACATGAACTCAGTGGCTGGCTCTTTGATCACCTCCCCCTGAAGGGGGGTCTAGCCTTACCAGGCCACAGAGGAGGACATTGCAGCCAGTCCTGATGAGACCTGATAGGCTAGGCTCAGATGGAAGGGGAGAAGGACTTCCCCTATCAGTGGACTTGGAAAGGGGCATGGGAGGAGATGAATGAGGGAAGGTGGGATTGAGAGGGGATGAGGGAGGGGCTACAGCTGGGATACAAAGCGAATAAACTGTAATTAATATAAAAAATAAAAATTAAAAAATGTATTTTGATCATATGCACCCCAACTCCCTTCCTTCAGACACCCCCAACATATTCCATTCCCCATTTCAATGCCTCTTTTTTTATAACTCACAAAGTCCACTTTCCCAGTATTTCTCTCAGGTTCTTAGTTAGGGGCCCTATCACTGTGCCTGACCCATCTGAAGAAGTCCCACAATCTCAGTAGAACAATTAATTTAAGATTCTGATCTGAAAGGAGGAACCAGGGACTTTCTCTTTCCAAAAAAGGTCATATATGTGTAGCAAGGCATGGACCAAAACTTTTTAACAAAAGGATATTAGAGCAGTCACAACACCAGTTACAGCTCCCATGGTAAAAGAGCCACTAAATATACCTAGAAAAATGCCAACTGACTTAAAAAAGGCAGCAGCATCAAAAGCATGAGTGTTTAGTCCTGCTGGTTGATAGGCAACAATAGACCTGGAGTTGAGAGAGAGAGAGAGTCAGTTTTATTTACAAGACCACACTAGTTTTACACCATGGTACTCTAAGCAGCCCCGACCCTCCTTCACTATTTCACTTTCCACGGTTTTAGTTACCTGAGGTCAACCTCAGTCTAAAATATCATAGGAAATTCCAGAAATAAACTATTTATAAGTTCTAAATTATATACTGTTCTCAATAGCATGATGAAACCTTAAAACATCCATCTGGATCTGCCCATGACATGAATCATTACTTTGTCTAAAGTATCCACGTGGTAAATGCTACTTGACTATTAGTCCCTTAGAAACAATGTGTTGAGGTTGTTAGACTGCAGCACTTATGTTCAAACAACCTTTATTTTATTTAATAATGTTCCCAAGGGAAAAGAGTAGTGTTCCTGAAAATTTGGATCTGCCAAAGAGAAGTCATAAAGTGCACGGTGGCACATGCCTTTAATCCCAGAACTTGGGAGGCAAAGGCAGAGGGATCTCTGTGAGTACAAGGCCAGCCTGGTCTACAAAATGGGTTCAGGACAGCCAGGGTTACACAGGGAGATCCTGTCTCAAAAAACAAACAAACAAAAAAGAAATGAAAAAGGATTACATGTGAGTGAAGAGATGAAAACACAGTAAGTTATTTTGAGGGAAAGAGTAAGCTTGTTGCATAACTTTTATTACAATTAAAACATTATTATAATTGTTCTACTTTATTATTAGTTATTGCTAACTATACTTATTTCATTTATATGCTTAACTTTATCATATATATGTATTTGTATGTATTTATACATACAAATTTGTATTTGTAATACAAATATATTACAAATAATACATTTGTAATGTATTATTATATGTATGTATGCATGTATATACATACGGAAAAATCATAAACAGGGTTCATTATCATCCATGGTTTCAAGCTTCCACTAGTGGTCTTAAACTGTATCCCTGGAGGATAAGGAGGTTCATTGTAACAGAAAATATCAATAAACATATAGTTTGCCAAGCACTGCTCAGAGAAAATATATTTCATTTAAACTACAGCCATCATGCTATGCTGGTGTCAGCATCCCGAATGCTGCTGAGAGACAAAGCCAGAAACATTATCCCCCTGCATAAATAGTTACTTACGAGGACAGTACAATGGCAACAGCATCATTTAAGACACTTTCTCCAAACAGAAGAGCATAAAGATCCACATCTGCATGCAGTTCATTAAAGATTGCCAGCACAGTCACTGAAATGTATGCCCAAAGCACAAAAATTAGTTTTGGTTTCTGCCCTTAAACCACTGATTCCAGATTTATAGAGGATTTTTGTGTATTAGGTGGGACAAAGTGGTTTGGTAGCCAGTAAAAGAGTCAAAAGACAGATGGTATATCTGATGGAAGGGAAAATGATAACTTCCAATCTAGGTGAGATTTGATGTGATCAGAGTCTTATGATCCCTGCACCTGAGTACACTGTTGTCTGCCCTAATCCCATCATATATTGAAAATACCTTGCACAGAGTTTTTGGGAAGTAAAAAAGAGACACTTGTGTAATTTGTCTCTTTTTGGGGTTGGTAAATGTTTAGGGACAGAAATCTTATTTTTTTACCCCAATGTTCCCACAACCCAGCACCAAGTCAAGACACAAAAAAGACTGTGATCAAGGCTTTGTCCACACGAATTACCTGTAATTATACTTCTTAGGTGATAAAGACCTAAGAAAGGGTCTCTTAAATAGCCCAGGCTGGCCAGAGACTCACAGTTTCCCTGCCTCAATCTCTTGATTGTTAGGATTACAGACATGCCACCGCCATGCCCAGTCCATAATTAAACTTCTCCCAGTTTTCATATTTCTGAAGCATTATAAACAAACTATTCTCTAGACCAGTAGTTCTCAAAGGTTTTCTGTTTGTTTGTTTGGTGTTTTCAAGACAGAGTTTCTCTAGGTAGCCCTGGCTGTCCTGGAACTCGCTCTGTAGATTAGGCTGACCTCAAACTCACAGATATCTGCCTGCCTTTGCATCCTGAATGCTAGGATTAAAGGTGTGTGCCACCAACACTTGACCTTTTTTTTTTTTTTTTTTTTTTTTTTTGAGATAGGCTCTTACTGTGTAGACCTGGCTGATGTGGAACTCTCAGAAATCCACCTGCCTCTGTCTTCCAAGTGCTGGGATAAAGGCATGAACCACCATGCCAGGCTGTCTATCACTTTTTTAATTTACCTTAGCATCTTTTGGAATCAGAAGAAAGTTACATACCTTGGGAAGGTTGCCCTTTTCCTAATATGAACTCATTACTGTAGCTTTCATATTCAAGAAGTTAACTTCATTTTTCCTTATGTTTACATGCTGTTCAATCTCAACTGTGTTGCATATATTTAATTAAGGTGTGTCATGGGTAGTGTGTGGGCTCCTTTTTCTGGTGCAGTGATTTGAAGGAGAATATCCTCCATAGGCTCATGTATTTAAATACTTGGTACCTAGCTGGTGGCTCTATTTGGGGACAGTTATGGAACTTTTAGGAGGTGGAACATTGCTAGTGAGGGCAGCAAGCTTTGAGGGTTTGCAGGCTTGTCCCACTTCCATGTTTTCCCTCTCCCCCCACCCAATTTCATATAGATGAAAATGTAATAAATCAGCTTCCTGTTCCTGCTACCATGCCATGCATTTCCCACCATCAATGGAATCTATCACTCTAGAATCATGCCCTAAAATAAACAGTCTTTCTTATATTTGGCCATGGAATTTTAACACAGCAACTAAAAACAACTAGTGAATCTGGTTTTGTCTGGAACTGTTAAAGATGGCCACTTCCCGAATACTTTCTGAGATCCTTCACTTTGAAAAATAGAATGATTATTTTTAACTGTTTAGTTGATTGGTTTAAAAAACACTAAGGCATTAATAAAGAATACTTTTGAGTATGCCTATGAGGGTGTTTCCAGAGTAGATTAATGGAGGGGGTTAAGACATGCCCTGAGTGTGGGTGGTACCACTCCGTTGGCTGGAGTTCTTAACTGATTAGTCAGAGGAAAGGCAAAAAGTCAGCTGAATACCAGCATTTATCTCTCTTTGCTTCCTGATTGTGGACACAATATAACCAGCAACTTTATGCTTTTGATATCATTCCCTCACAGCAATGATGGACTGTTTCATCAAACCATGAGCCAAAATAAACCCTTCCTTAAGTTGTGTTTTTCAAAGTGAAGGATTATACTATACAACTTCAAAAAACTTTTCTGACTTATGAACATAGTTTGCCTAAATATTATAGTTGCCAGTAGTAAAAACAATAGATAGTTAATTGCCCATGACAATGAGAGCATGTCTAATAACACTAACAACAGTTTACATCAAGTATGAATCTTAACTCCTCATTATTCCTGCTATCACATTAATAAAGCAGGTCAGGAACTCTGTGGTGCCTCTCCTTAGCAAGTCTATGCCTGACTACAGTAAGGAAATATCCATAGCAGCATCCAAAAGAGGATGGTATAGGGATAATGGAATGGGAAAGTTGCCTCTAAAGGAAGAGATTTGCCTTGGCTTGGAGGTAATTTTAATGTCCCTCAAACTTTCACATAAAAAGGGTTGTTCCTTTATGAGGAAACATTAGAAGATGCTAGGGCTCTTTGAGAGGTGGGGCTTCAAACAGTGTTATGGGACCCTAATCTTTTACTGTTTCTGTCAAGTACAGTGTAATCAGGGATAAGAACCTCATATATTTTTTTTTCTGTCAGGTAATACCACTCTATACTAGAATTTGTGATTGATAGTTTAGGAACAAGAAGCCAATCTGATCTAGCAGTCCTCTTAAAACGAAGTCCTTATTCAGTAGGCCGCAATCATCAGGTGGGCACATATCAAAAGAGTACTGACAGTTAGAAATCTGTGTTTTTCTGTCATCCTCAGGACTGTAACTACCAAAAGAGTAAGACCTCAGTCTCCAAGACTCCATAGGAAAACAGATTCCCAAATCTTATTATTAAACAAATGGCAAGATATGGTAGCTCACACCTCTAATCCCAGCATTCAGAAAGCCAAGGCATCCTGAGCTACAATGAGACCCTGTCTCCACAGTTAAGCAAGCAAGTGCAGCTGGTCTAGTCCCATTTATGCCCACCAATGCCTTGTACTATGACTTCTGTGATTCTGCATCTCCACATTCCCACTTAGCTATGTGTTTTCAGTTGAGTTTTAAAATCAATAATTTTGGAATTCACACAACTAAACTACATTATTATTATTCACTCCTACACCAGTTTTGTATGGATAATGTCTCTGACATGAAGATTACAATAATAGCAGCAGCCTAAGTAATAACTTCAAGGCCATTGTTTTGTTGTTGTTGCTGCTGTTGTTGATAATACCAAGTCTTCATTTGGGTCTGCACAGGTGCCTAGTCTTCCCCCACATCACACGGATGCTGCCATTTTCTGAACATGTGTTCCATGAAGACTCATGAAGATTGATTACATGTTTGTTTAGACTGCTGATTACTTCACTTCCAGCCACATTTTTCCATTGTCCAATGTCTTAAACCGTCCTGCTCCATTTTCCCATAAACAGACCCACTCCTACCATCAGGGAAGAGGATTAGACACTTGGTTCTCTCACCTCCATCCTCAGCTTCCCAGTGAATAATTTTCTATTTTGCAAAATGAGCAAGTAAAATATGACTGACATATTTTCACTGTAAGCAAAATACGCCCCATGGCTTTTGTTGTTTTGTTTTATTTTGTTTGTTTTAGTATCATCCTCTAACACTGCACTCAAGTTTCAGTCTCTTTTATGGCCCAAGTGTTTGAACAGAAACCAGAACAATTACTCATACTTTATAGATAGGCATGCTGATGGGAGAAGGGAAAGTTGACCCAAGCCAGCTGATCAGTGAGTGGCCTAACTAGAGATCAACACAAATGCACCAAGACTCCACATCTCACCTGCTTTTCACAAACCAAGTTGCCTCAAGCAGCTAATCCCTCAATACTAATTTAGAGTGTCTATGATAATATATGGAGGTGAGAAAGGTTAAAGGTTTTGGAACATAAAGATTTTTCAGAACTACACAACTGTCTAGCACCATGCCCTTCAATGTGGTGACCACTAATAATATCTAGCCACTTAATTTAAATTGTTTAATAGTAAGTGAAATCTAAAGCTCAGTCCTTCAGCTTGCAGTGCCCCACATTGTAAATGTTCAGTGGGTACCATATTGAACTGCGCAGATGATCAAACATTCTTTGCAGAAGGATCTGTGGAATAACAGTAATATAGAGGACCCCCAAGAGGTATGAGCAAGTGGGAACTATTGTTGTCTTTAAGATTATTACTGTTCAGAATGTTAAAGAGTATTTTACAAATCAAGAATATTTTTATACCTCCCAGGACAAACCAATATATGTATGTGCAGTTTTTGAAAACTGAATTGATTAAATGAATCTATAGACATAGAGAACAGACTTGTAATAGTTGGCATTAGAGAAAGCAATAGCTGATACATTGGGGGAACTTTAAAAATTATATGTATGGGTACTTGCATACCTATTGCAATATCCATACTGCAGGAGATCTCTGCATGTGAATCTCCTGTAACTGGAGTTACGGATGGTTGTAAGCTACCATCTGAGTACTAAGAATCAAACCTAGGTCCTCCACTGATCAGCGAGTGCTATTAATTGCTGAGTCATCTCTCTGCACCCTGCTCTGCTTTATACATTCTAACTTGGAGGTAAGCTATCTTGTTTGCTGTTGAGATTCTGGGGAGAAAAGCTATACATTAACTCCACTTTTAGGAACTGATTGATCTATCACTTGAAAGCTACATGATATGAGACTTACAAGAATTCCATCACAGTATGGTAAGAACTCTACACAAGATGTTTACATATACAACTCTTTCCATTAAGGAAAATAATTATTCAAACCAAATGGTATATTTTCTAAAGGAAGGTGAAAGTGTAATGCTGAAAAAGAACACAGTATAAAATTATGTCCACATGAGTCATTCTAAAATGAAAGACAAGAAGAAAATACAAGTAGAAAGAACTCATTTCCTTGAACAGAAGGTTCAATAATAAAAATGTGAAATAGTATACAGCCTTAAAAGGTAGGAAATCATGGTATATGCTCTACCAAGGATTAACCCATGCAGCAGGATGGAAAGCAAAAAGAGCCAGTGACAAAATGACAAATATTCCAAGATTTCACATACACGAGGAAATTATAGTAGTCAAATTCATAGAGGGGAAAAGGAGAATGGTGGTTGACAGAAGCTGGATGGAAAGGGAAAGGGAAGTTGTTGATATATGAGTTTAGAGAGTTTCAGTTGTGAAAAATTAAAAATTTCAAGAATTAGTTGCTGAATGAGGCAATATTTAACACTATTGAACCATATGCTTAGTAATTAAGATGCTATATTGTATGCTGTATATTTTACCACAATAAAACAGTAAGATGGTATATTAGTTACTTTTCTATGCTATGAAAAACAAATGACCAAGGCAACTTATTGAAGGAAGGGTTTATTCGGCCTTAAGGTTCCAAAGGAATAAGAGTTAATCACCATTATGGCTTCCCTAAGTGGCAGCAAATAAAGGCATGATGTCTAGAACAAACTGAAAACTCACATTTTAAACCACAAGCACGGAGTGAACAAACAATAGCATGAAGCTTTTAAACTTTGACATCCCACCTCCAGTGATCAACTTCCTCAAACAAAGCCACACCTCCTAAGCTTTTCCAAACAGCACCATGAAATGGGGACCATGTCTTCAAGTGTCTGAGACTATGGGGAGAAGAGATGAATTTTTAATTTTTTTTTTTTTTTGGTTTCTTGACACAGGATTTCTCTGCGTAGTCTTGACTGTCCTGGACTCACTTTGTGGACCAGGCTGGCCTCAAACTCACAGAGATTTGCCTGCCTCTGCCTCCCTAGGTGCTGGGATTAAAGGTGTGCACCACCGCACCCGGCTTGTGGGGAACATCTTAGTCACACCACCACAGAAGGTAAAACATAGTTTTCTTTTAAAAAAAAAAAAGTCTAAGTCTGTTAGATCTAACTACTATTCATTTCCTCTATCACCTGTTAATGCCATAACTTCTGTACTGCAACAGAAGTGCTCTGAAACTTATAAGATTTAACTAATGTAGTAACATAATGATCAAGACAAATGTTCAATTACCTGGGTCAGTGGCAGAGATAATTGCTCCAAAAAAGAGACAATCCGTGTAGTAAAATTTATCAGAGAGTTGGCCCACAATCTTCATGAGTTTCACTACCCCATACATAAGATTTCTGTAGAATGGTAGGTAAACAGTGTCAGGAAAAAAAAATCTTGCAGACATATAAACAAAGTAGGAACCTAGGTAAATGGAACTTTGACACCAAGGAATGGTTTGTAGCTATTATTTGAAGATGCATCTGAATATTTCTTTTACTGTTGTTTTTTTCTTTTTTTGTGTGTGTGTGTATCAGAGTGGGGCACTGAGACAGAGGATTGTGTAGAACAATTTGTAGACCTTGACTATATAGCAGAGGATGACCCTCAACTCTGAACCACTTAAGGATGGTCCTGAACTTCTGATTCTTTTGCCTTTGCCTCCTAAGTACTGGAATTACAGGTGTAAACCACCACCAGCCAAGACTGGTGACAGTAAGTACCATATCACTGTCTACCCTTATGTCTTTACTGACTAGAACAGTGGAATGCCTAAGCTAGGGGTCAAAGAACTGTTTACAGTGCCGAATGGAATCCTTACAAGAAGTAGCTAGAACCTAATATTTACTTAGTATGTGCCAGCTATTGCTCCAATTAGCTCAACTTCAGTTCATGGCAGCTCTTTGGAACAGATCTGATTTGTTCTTTGCTGCTTACCAAAAGCTTCTTTCATGTTTATACATTTCAAATATTTCCTGAAAGTATACTTTCTTCTCCATTTCTTTCATTAAAATTCTAGATCTATCTAGATGGTAGATTTCCTTCTGGTAGCCTTACCCCCATCTGGCCTCCCATTGACTCCTCATTAAGAACAAACTCCAAGACACTCCTTTTAAAGAACAGAACAGAAGATCCTTGCCTTTATCTCCAGCTTTCCAACTAATTTTTTAAGTCCTTCCTACATTCAGATTTGCTAGTGCATTTTTAAAAGCCTACTATCTCCTTTCTGTTCCACATGGCATTTAATCATCAAATCTCCTGGTCTTTTGGTTGTGACAGCTTCTCAGCATAGCTTTTTTCTGATGACCTTGGCAATTTTGAGCAATGCTGGTCAGAAAGTTTGCAGGGTGCTTCTTGTCTGCCTTTTTCATCAGACAGAGGTGACCATGTCTTTGGGGTAGATGACTAAGGAGGCAAAGTGTCCTTTTCGTCATAAATCCCAAGGATATATAATAACATGACTTGTAATGTCTTCCATGTTCTCTACTTTGAAGCTACTCTCTTTCCCTAATTTCTGTACCATACTCTTTATAAAGAAGTTACAATATATAGCCCACACTCAAAGCTGGTTGGAATGAAGATCTGGGGTTTATGAGACTAAGTTTTACCTCTTCGAAGGGGTAATACATCTTAACACTTATCTACAATTTGGTACATGAAATGTGTCACTTCTCACTTATTTCTTCATTCAATCATACATCTTTCTATGTGTAGACTCAGGGATATTTATTTTATACTCTATATGATAACTTAATATAAAGTTATTCATTTTGTTGTGTTTAGCCACTGATGGGATCTGGCTATGGTAAGAACTTCCAGGCTGGCCTTCATGTTTCTTTGACATGCCTTGTTGCTTTACGGCTGTTTGCCTTTTGAGCATTTGCTTACTCTTTGGTATTAAAAGATGTTCCATCTCTGTGTAAAGTTCCTGTTCCAACACTAGAGTAGGAGGCATTGGTTCTTTCTATTGAAGAATGCTATAAGAAATTATGATCTAGAAATTGTAGTTCATTTTAATTATTCTAATTTAAATTTAATGCCCACATGTATTTAACAACTGCCATACTGGACAGGATAACTCTCTATCCTAACTGCCATGCTCACACAACGTTAAGATACAGCTTTGGGGGGCTGGAGAGATGGCTCAGAGGTTAAGAGCACTGGCTGCTCTTCCAGATGTCCTGAGTTCAATTCCCAGCAACCACATGGTGGCTCACAACCATCTATGAGATCTGATGCTCAATTCTGGCCTGCGGCACACCTGCAAACAAAAGACTGTATAAATAATAAATAAAAATAAATCCTTAAAAAAAAGAAGATGGGGTTGGGGATTTAGCTTAGTGGTAGAGCACTTGCTTAGCAAGTGCAAGGCCCTGGGTTCGGTCCTCAGCTCTGAAAAAAAAAAATACAGCTTTGTACACTATACTGATGAATCTCATTTCTCTGGGTAGTATGTTAGACTGGCTACACAACAAAGAATCACTTACCCAATAATGAAGCAGGAAACAGCAGTCCCCAAGAAGGCATAGGCCAAAATTGATCCAAGATTTCTAAAAAAGTGTCTCTGAATGAAAGCAAAAAGGGAGGGGAGATTATAGTAATTTTTGATACACGCCAAAAAAAAAAGCAAACATACAAACAAAAATGATTTCATATAAAAAGCCTCTAAAATCTGGTATTCTATACTGTTTAAACATCTAGTAATATCAGGTATCACTCCTAAATAATGCCATTCAGCCTTAAACATCATTATTTTAAAATATCCTCTGCACTCTCAATCACTAAGAAAGTTACCAAGAACCTCATACATTTCAGACAAAATAATCTTAGCTAATTATATTAAGCTGTATTAAGTGAATATATGTGTACACATGTATTTTAGATAAACCAATTAATTTTTTGAGACTTGACATAAACTAGGTTATTCCATGATCCTGTTAGCCACTTCTAGTTCTAGTGGGATCTTAGAAGATCATTAGAGATGTACATCTGAAACAAATAAATGGGAAAGTGTCTTCTGAGAAGCTTTTTACTGACTTTGATAGTGGAAAACAGACTCCTAAATATATGCTCATGGGACTTGAGATATCCCCTTATATCCATCTGTTTTAATTTTTGGAGCCTGAAAAAGATGGACAATAGAGATAGGAATAGAAAAAACGAGAATAGTAGTGAGTTCAATTTGAGATGGTCTTGTTTATACAGGAAAAAAACTTAAAACCAATGTTAAGATGTAGTGATTATTCAGAAAGATGCAAGATTACATCTTTGATTGGGCCTACATATTCAAAAGTTACCTTCAAACTAAACATAACAAATACATACACACAGACACACATGTTCACTTCTTGCAAGTCATCAGGTCCATGGGGTCTTCTGATGGAAGGACAGTGCTCAGAGGAAGCCCATAGGCTGCTCAGTCTCCAAGTGGGTTCCTTAGTAATGGGAACAAGGACTGTCTCCGACATGACTCAGTGGCTGGCTTTCTGATCACCTTCCCGTGAAGGGGAAGCAGCCTTACCAGGCCACAGAGGAAGACAATGCAGCCAGTGCTGATGAGACCTGATAGACTAGGGTCAGAGGGAAGGGGAGGAGGTTCTCCCATGTTAGTGGACTAGAAAAGGAGAATAGGGGGAAAGGAGTGAGGGTGGCTGGTAGTAGGAGGAGACAAGGGAGGGGGCTACAGCCTGGATACATAGTGAATAAATTGTAATAAATAAATCTATCTTTTAGCAGCAGGAAAAAGCAATTACTATTTGAAATTCAGAACTACTTAATAAAAATAGACAAGTAAAATCCTCCAAACACCCTAATTAAACAAAAACCATCAAAACCATCTTTTTGTTTTTTCCAGATAGGGTTTCTCTCTGTAGACTTGGCTGTCCTGGAACTTACTTAATAGACCACGTTGGCCTTGAATGTACGGAGATCCACCTGTCTCTGCCTCCAGAGTGCTGAGATTAAGAGGTATGTGCCAAAGCTCTCAGCCATCATTTTTAAAAATAGCAAAGACCCAGTATGCCAGGTGAGCAATACCACAAAAAGAGAGCATAGCCAGCATCAGCATATGTGAGCAAAGGACTACAGTTTGTCCTTTGCCCCATATCTCAGATAGTTCAGGACCCTGTTCTCATCTTTCCACAATTTTCATCCCTCTGAGGCTCAGATTTCAAAAGAATGTTTGCCACCCCTAAGTGACCTGCTCAGAGGAGACTCTTTCAAGGGCATGTCATGCCAACAGTCACTAAATGAAGATGTTGCCTGAAGAGCTCTTGAACATATTATACTTGATCCTGTCTTAAGTCTTTTTTCAAGCAATTGCATTTATATAGCAAGATATGGGGGGGATCAGATTTCAAAAATATTAACTACTGCAATTCCAATGAAACTTCAATTAAGAGGCTGGTACGATGGCTCAGTAGATTATGATGCTTTACACCAATTCTGATGATCTGAGTTCAATCTGAGACCTCCACTGCAGAAGAAGAAACCCAACATACACACCCCCCACTCAAGTTGTTCTCCGACTTCTACATGCAAATCTTGGCACCTAAACTAGATAGATAGTTAGATAGATAGATAGATAGATAGATAGATAGATAGATAGATAGATAGATAGATAGATAATTAGATTTTTCTTAACTCCCATTAAGGGCTTATACGAGTGAATGCTAGAACCAATGGCATGCAGGTAACATACCAAGATATAGATTGTAATCTCAGATGCACTTGTGCTTGTACCCAGAGTTGGAACATGGTTTAAGAATGGAGCTGTGTGAGAATTTTGAGAGTGTGTGAGAAATCTCTAAGAAAACTGGACAAGAGTCTTTTGATCTCTGTTCATTCTAAGCATTGGTTTGGTCTTGAAATGTGCTTCTGTGGGCCTCCCAGGTGTAGTAAATAGGGTTTATTTCAGATTACCCATTATCTTACTTTTGTTATTCAAAAAATGTTTCCAATAACAATCTGTCCTTGAGTTTGTACATAGCTTGAAGTCATGTGACCTTTGCTCATGTGACCTTGCTTAACTGTCTAAGGTTATGACCAAAGTGACTTGAGGAGGAAAGGGCTTATTTCACTCACAGCTCCATATAACAGCTCATCATCAAAAGCAGTGAGGGCAGGAACTCACCCAGGGCAGGAACCTAGAGGCAGGCTCTGATGCAGAGGCCATGGAGGCATGCTGTTACTGACCAGCCTCACATGTCATGCTCTGCCTGTTTTCTTATAGAGGCCAGGACCATCTGTCCAAGGATGACAGCACCCATAATGGGCTGGGCCTTCCCCTATCAATAACTAATTTTAAAAAATTACTTACAGCTTGATCTTAAGGAGTTATTTTTCTGAATTGATGTTCCCTCCTTTTAGATAACTCAGGCTTATTTTAAGGTGACATGAAAGTAGCCAGCACATTACCCTCACAATGTAAATTGTCTGATTCACTAAATAAAGTTGGCTATTGCAAGAGCCTTAAGTCCACCTCATTTTTAGGCTCCATTCTTCCAGGTTCATAACACCAACTAGAGTGGTGACACCCAGTTTTCTCTTGGGCAATTATTCCCAGGGTAAATGGAAACACAGATAAATTCACATTTATGATATTAGCTAAAGCACAAAACCAGAAATGTAAATCTACAAAAATATATTCATAATATATTCTAGAATCTCAATATTTCCTATCCCCACAACATACAAATTGTTCATTTCTTATTCAAACCTGCTGAACTAAATTTTTATTTTGAAATGTTACGCCACATGCTTGCATATTATATCAGCACTTGATTGCACATTTCATAATACACAAAGTAGTTTCATATATACTAGCTCATCCAATTTTCAAAACAACCCAGTGTGGTTTCATTCAAGGTTGTTTGTTTCTTTTCGCCATACTGGAGACTGATCTTGTGCATATTAGAGAAGTGCTTTACCACTGAGCTAAACTATCAGCTGTTGCTTTGTTCTTTAGACAGTAGTAGCCCAGGTTTACTTTAAACTAGTGGAAGTCCTCTTGCTTTAGTCTCCACAGTGCTGAAATTATAGGCACAAGCTGCCATATGCAGTTATTGAACCATCTTACATGAGAAAAATCTAAGTTTCTATGGCATGGTTTGAGTTGCCTAAAGTCCTCCATCTACCATACTATGACCAAAGACTGAGAACCAGTCTCTGGACTTTAATGCATGGCTTTCTTAATCTCAACAACTCTGCTTTGTAAGGAGAAAGGAAGGACAGGAATTATTAAATTAAAGACTAGACCTTTCTTCTTATTTTTATGTGTCATGATTATATAGTCATGATTAGCTCCTACTTTTCTCTCTCAGGCACAGAATAACAAGCAGAGAAAAGAAAGGAGATAGTGGCATCCCCAAGTAAAGCCTTCAAGAACAGGGTTCACTTTTGGTGAAATCCACTGGACATCCCAGTTAGTAGTGTACCATTCTCAGCTCTATATTCCTACTGCTGGGGAAGCACTATCCTCTCCCATTCCCATCATGTGGTGTGTGTGTGTGTGTGTGTGTGTGTGTGTGTGTGTGTGTGTGTGTGTGAGAGAGAGAGAGAGAGAGAGACAGAGACAGAGACAGAGACAGAGAAGCAGTTACAAAAAGTTTGTCTAGATGATTTTTTTCAATACTAGTGCCCTTAAACCACAAGCAGTGGCACAAAAATCAAAGGCAAAGCCAATAGTAACTTTTTCAAGGTGAAAAAAAGATGAGTGTCTGCAAAGGTGTATTGTTGGTATAATGTTCTTTTGGAATGTACACAATTTACCCTTGTTCATTCAAATGCTGATTTCTCTACCCCACTATCTGGTTTCAATCAGGACATTGCATTGTGATGTTTATTCTAAGCATCACCAGTCTCAAGTTTTTGTAAACATGCCACCATTTGTTCTCTATATTTTCAATAAAACAACCAGCCAATGCTGAGCAATGGAGAGAATAGGTGGGACACCCTGGTCTGGAGGGGAGGAGAAATAAGGGAGTGGGGGGAGTTAGGAAGAGAGATTGGAGAGGACTGGACTTGGAGCCACCAGGAGAGATGAACCGGACCTAAGATATGACTAAAAGCAAGTATAATGTAGGAAATCTGAATGGGAAGAAACTATGTGGACTTGGAGGTTTAGGATAGAGTAATTATTGCCCAGCCTTGTGCTCTAGGTTAATAAATCCTAGTCTCTGTTTGGTGATTTGGGTATATGGCTGGATTAGGATTAAGTACTGTTTAACTAAAAGATAAATCAATAGTAAGTATTAATATTCAACAACAGTGAACATGCAGCTATCAAATGATCCAAATCTATCTATCTATTTATATAGCTTTAGATAAATGGTAAAAATCTTTGTCACCCATTTAATCAATAGTAGGTGCAATCAGAGATGGCAGACACAGTAACAACCACCGAGCTGGTGACTTTAGAAAGACTGTTTAAAAAAGAACACTCTCCATGCATGGTCCTTGATTGGAGTATCGGTCTCTGCAGGGGCCCCAGGCCCAGGTTTTTTGGCTCTGATGGTCTCCTTGTGAAGTTCCTGTCTCCAGGTCTTTCTATCTCCCTCTTCATCCATAAGGTTTTCTGCACTCTAACCCAAAGTTTGGCTATGAGCCTCAATATCTCCTTTGATACCCTGATGGGTAGAGTCTTTCAGAGGACCCCTGCTGAAGGTTCTTGTCCTCTTCCTTGTCTTCTCCTACTTCTGATGTTTATCCTGTTTGCCCTTCTGAGTGAGATTTCAGCCTCTTCCCTAGAGTTCTCTTTGTTTTTTTTTTTTTAGCTTTGTGGGTTCCCTAGTAAGGGGGGGAAGGGGCTGTTTCTAACATGAACTCAGTAGCCGGCTCTTTGATCACCTCCCCTGGGTGAGGGGTACAGCCTTGCCTGGCCACAGAGGAAGATGATGCAGCCAATCCTGATGAGACTTGATAGGCTATGGTCAGGTAGAAGGGGAGGAGGTCCTCCCCTATCAGTGGACTAGGGAAGGGGCATAGAGGGAGAAGAGGAAGGGTCGGTGGGATTGGAAGGAGATGGAGGGAGCTATGACAGGGATACAAAGTGAATAAATTTTAATAAATAAATAAATGTGTAAAAAAGACACTAATGGTTGGTAACACAGAAGGCTAGTGTGTCATAAACAAGTTCAATTAGTAACAGGGAAAGCTTGTTATTTGGGTTTCTTTTCAGAAAACAGCTGATAAAAGAAAGGTTGTAAAAAAGTAAGGTATTTTTCAACCATTAGAGGCCCTTCCATAACCTGTGATTAGCTTTCATTTTAAAGCAAAATATGACTTTGATTATACGTTCAGATTGGTTATTTAAAATAAACTATTCATCACCCATTTGATCTAAAGAAGCGTTCACAAATTCTCCACTGAGGGAAAAATAATATTATTATACCTATACTAACTATTTCCTAGCTATCATGTGTCACAAAACGATGTAAAAATTCAGATGACTTGGCAACTGTATAAACAACTTGAAAAAAGTACATATTCGAGATGTTTTATATGGAAAACGTGCATCTAGTTCAAAAGAGCAACCCTGGCTTGTTGTTGGACAGAGACAGCTTAGCTTTCATTTTCTGCATTGATTGCAAACCCTTGCCTCTGTGACTACAAAATGTCCTCCTCCAGCCTCTGTATGCATGCAAATATATATATATATATCTTGCACACTCATTAATATACACTAAACACACACATGGCATGGTAGTGCACACTTAATCAGAGTGCTGAGGAGGTTGAGAAAAGCAGATCCCTGAAACTCCATAGCCAAACAGTCTAGCCTACTTAGAGAGTTCTAGGCCAGTAAACAGACCCTGTATTTTTTTTTTAATTAAGTGTATGGTCATGAAGAATGACACCTGAAGTTGGCTTCTTCCCACCTACCCACCCCCATATACTTTACTGGCTCAAAACTATTCTGAGTACTCCTTTATTATCCACTGAATGTTTGAATAGGTTCTGTAGTGATACCTTCTCTATGTTCCTACTGCAGTTTTCCCAAGTAATCTAGCCAAAGTTTCTCTGCCTAGAAGTTATTTTCTAGCTCATAAAGATATTGAGTTTTACTATCAACCAAGATCTCTCTTCTCTAGACCTGGAAGATTTATTTCTCATCCTCCATCAGAGCTGAAATAAGCTCTGTGGTTCTTATCCTAGGACGGCCTTTGGGGACCAAATCTTCACACAATATTCCCACAATAAGAATAGATAGATAGATAGATAGATAGATAGATAGATAGATAGATAGATAGATAGATGGCTAAGATGTATGTATGTATGTATGTATGTATGTATGTATGTATGTATGTATGGATGGATGGATAGATGTGCCCCATCCAGATTGGACATCAATCATTTTTTCCATGAGATTGCTAAGTATTTTTTTATGGTACTGATATACTACAGTTTGTTTAACCATTACCTATAGGAAGGAATTTTGGTTGTTTGGGGGATTTGTCTTACAAATAAGATAGCACAAAGAATGTGGCATAGGTTTTTGTGTGAACACAGCTTTATTCTCTCTTCAAGAAATCCTCAGCAGTGAAGTGGTTCGGCCTTAAACACCTTTGATTTAAGTTCTAAAAGAATTATCACTTTGTGTGCCAAAGTGGCTGTAACATGTTACATTCTCAGTGGCGGTTTAGAAAAGCTCTAGATTTTAAAACAGAAATGGATCACTGATGATGAGCCACCTATGGTCTCTGAGAGGCTACAGAACACAGAAATCTGAGAGCTTAAGGGGGAAAGTAGATAATTATCCAGGTCAACACCGAGACTTCCAATCCCCCCTCCCCAAAAAAAGAAACAGTGTATACATGAATCCATTGAAGAAAATTCTTAAAAATAGTGGTAGGGATCCTAAAGTGCAGCTATTCACAGTTGATGGCTTCTGGCAGGGGTAGGATTGAAGTGGGAGTGGAGAAGGACTTGGTTTTCTTTAAAGGGCTGGCCACTGAGACTTTGACCATGTCCAGTGAGTATATGGGCAATACAAACTAGAGTTGGTATTTTTTTTTTCTTCTTGTTTTTTTCTGAGAGGAAGTCATAGGGTAGGAAGTGGACTTGGGAGGATGGGAAAGTGAGTGTGAACAGGAAGCATTATGTGAAATTCCCAAATAATCAATAAAAATATCATTTTGGGAAAATATTATTTTGAGAAATCTCTTATGATATTACTAGCAAATGCTCATACCTTCTTTAAACTATATCCAGCATGGAAAATAATTGGAGGCAGCAGAATGTTGAAAAATACCTCTGGATCAAATGTTACCTGAAAGTTTAAAAAGAAAGAGGTCAGATTTTAGATAAAGGTCAACTGATTGGATAATATAGGTTTAATATTGCAAACCATTGAGTAAACTGCCTATTTGAAACAAAAGCCATCAATGTGGTAAATAATTACAGCAGAGAAGCCACAATTACCCTATTAACTGCTATGCTCTTCATCTCCCCCACCCCATTCCTCCACTACCCCAAGTACTTCTGACTTAAGATTTCAGTATTTTGTTTTAATACATATTAAATCACAACAATTTTAAGCAATTTCAGGAACTCACAGAAAGCTGTTGCCAATGTTTTCCAACAGAAAATAAAAACATCTTGATTTTCATCACACATTCATGAAGGCTTAAAATTGTTGTCATGAGTCTTTAGTAACTTCCCAGATAATTCATCTGATCCTTTACAGACATAATCCTGCAACATTTAAGTCCCTTACGAGGGAGCAGCCTTCAGAAATACTTCATGTGGACTAGACAAAGTTATTAGTGAGGTCAACCACATCCTGATCATCAGCTGAAGTTTGGTAATTCTACAGAGACTGAAGTTGGTTGTTGATGATAAAACTGACACTTCTATACAGCCAATCACAGTACAGCCAAAGGATTTATAAATATGCTGAACTTTTTAGGGGGTTTAAAATGATTAAGTGACATAAAAGTTAATTTAAAATGATTAACTAACAAAAAGTCAATTAAACTACCCACATGAATAAAACTTTAATAACTTATTTCTTGCCTATCCTGAAAATCATGCACATGAGAGATACATAATCTTTTTCTGAAGCATTTTTTTGCTACTCCATAATCAAATGAACAATGCTTCGACTTAAATTCTAAAACAAGCTCTTCTTCCTTTGAAGATTCTGATAAGTCTTTGGCATCAATCATTAATAAGTGTAAGCACTCAAATATTTGCACACTATGTCAAGAGAGCCATGAAGAACTGAGAATTTCATTTCAGAATACTGACTAAGCTAAAGCGGCATTACTGTAATTTTTTTTAAAGATAAATGCCATGTGATAGCGGAACATGTCTTTAATCCCAACACTTGGGAGGCAGAGGCAGATGGGTCTCTCTGAGTTTCAGGCCAGCCTGGTCTACAGAACAAGTTCCAGGAGAGCTGAGGCTACACAGAGTAACTCTGTCTCAAAAAAAAAAAAAAAGTAAAGAAAAATAGAAAGAAATTCCGATAGAAAGGAAGAAAGGAAAAAGGACAAAAGAAAGAAGAAAGAAAAGAAAGCTCCTTTTTAAGCTATAGCAAAGTTAAGAGGAAAGAAGAAGTGGTGCAAGGCAAGTGGGGACATAAAAATATTGCACAATCTGCAGCCTGTGTTGCCTACAGCTCCTAGCCAGTTAAACTGGTCAGAAAGCTAAAGCAACCAAGTTAAAATATGGCTCTTTTCCACATCCTGACCCAGAAGCATCCTACAGAACTGTAAACCAGGAATGGGACAGATATTCCAGTGGTTTAAGGAGGATTCTGTTCTCAAGGTCAGCATGAAGCCAGGGAATCAACAAGCTTGTCCCAGACAGGTAATAACTCACCTTCCGAAGCATGTCATTCTGCTCCACACTATTGATCTTGCCAGGGCTGATTTCACCTTTCAGAGTGTATTCAAAGAACTTCCCACTGACATTCACTAATAAGGTGCTAAAGGCTCTGTCTTCCTGAGTACAGCTGAGTGATTTGTCATGACCACTGGTAGCAGGGATGCCATACCTCAGGATCACTCCAACGATGAGCCCTAAAATAGGGTGACACACATTTTAAAACATTAGTCCTGGCTTACTGTGCAGTCATTTATGGAAGTGCAGCCATGCAGCTCAGTTAAGCCTGCCTACTTTCCTGAATTAATCAAAGAAGTAATTTCCCCTTTCTTTTTTGTCTCTCTCTTTGAGAAACTGGCCAGAGCCAAAGTATGCTTTTTCTGGTATGATTTTTTACTTTTTGTCTGAAACTACCTCCCTTTTGTCATGTGGCTACTTGCCCAATGTCCATGCTCAACTCATAAAAGGCATGGATTTCTCTCTTCCTCTTCTCCATCTACCTCCTCTGGGCAGATGCTGAGATTTCTATATTGCATATCCTAGAGTTTTAAACACTAATAAAATTATAATTGAACTTTTAAAGTCAGTCATGTGGCAGAACAGAAAGCATGGGAGCGATGACACTGCTGATTTAAATCCTTTGGTCACCAGAAGGATTAAACAGAACAGTAGCTAATAAGGGCCCATGAACACACTCAATCCTGCTTCTATTTCATGTCTCATTTCTGAAGCTTTTAGGAGAGAAGTATGAAGTGGGGAGAAAAGCATAATGTTTTCTACTCAAAACAGAATGAGGAAGAAGCACTGAGTCTTTGTTTTTCATCCAAAGTATCACTGAAGCCAGTCCTACCGCCATCTGCTAGGGAGGACCAGGCTACTGGAATTTTTAATTGCTATAAATGTAGCATGCTTTGCCACACACCAGAGGTAGAAAAATGTTTTTGCTTAGGTCATTCTAAGCACTCATGGAGAAAGTAATTATACCCACTGGGAGGCTAAATGTTGCAGTGTAAACATCAGGGGCTGGGTCACTGCATCTTGAGGCTACAAATTTAAAATGATGTTCTCAATAATATCATCCTGACCAACTATGAAACAGACTTAAAGCCTTAGAGGTATAAGAAAAGTCAGACTTAGTTTTAAAAAGCCTGTTAATCATTACCAAAAAGAGATAGTAAAGAAAACAAAGAAGCCCATAATGCAAATGCTTTGAGTTATCTAGTGAGCAGGCAAAAGACAAGCACTTCTTCAGTGTCAATCTTCTAGAAAGGTCTTATGGCTGACTTTCCAGTCATTTCTTCCCATCCAGTGACAAATCAGATGATGACGGAGATGGCCATCCAGTACTCTGCTCAGCCTTGGGAACATGCTCCTCAGCTGACACTGTCATGGTTATCTTGGTTATGGCTTTCTGTACTGGTAAGTGAAATTGTGAGCTACCTACAGCAGGGTGGCTGTTGGTCACATTTCTTTTTATTTTTATGGTCTTCCTCATTTCTGCTCCAGCAAGTCTGATATAGTCTTAGTCTCTAGCAGTTCTCACTCATAGGAGGCTGTGAGAACTCTGATAAACACCTGGGGGTCCTTTGCATGGAACAGGAAGGAAGTGTATTGTGTACACAGTCAATCTTAGTGTTTCATTAATGGTCCTATACATTACACCAATTAAGCTTACTGGTCCACTAAGCTACACCAGTAGAACTGTTTCTATGGTCTATTATCAGAACCCTATCTTAGGTCACATAGGCTCTTCATTCTCCCCATTTACATTATTCTGTTCATTCTTCTGGTAATTGTATGGAAAGGTCCTATGTCCTCACAGCTACAGTGTTCTGTGTTTGAGAAAATGATTTTTAAAAACAGCCTAGTTCATTTGCTAGATCTGATATAAAACTATGAAAAGACCATAAGTGAAAGACTTAAAACATGTAGAGGATTTGGTTTAAAGCTCAGAAAGTTCAGTGCACACACGCACACACGCGCGCGCACACACACACACACACACACACACACATACACACACACACACACATATGCACACACACAAATGCAAGGAGCCACATAGGCACTGATCTCCCTGGCTCATCAGCACAGTACTCTAGATTACAAAGGAAAAAAGCCTATGTCTGTGGAAAAACAGCACAGCAAACATCAGCTGAGTAATGGAGGGTCACTGGCTTCACAGGCATATGACTAACGTCAGGAAATAATTTAATTTCAACTTTTACAGAAAGCAAATACAGATGGAATTACTTTGACATTTTATGTGGCTGGAAGGAAATGGTAAGTCCAAAAGTATAAAAATTCAAGACTTTAACTTGTGGGTATGAACAAAACCTACTTCCCAACTGTCAGGATACTGTACTAATGGTGTACAACTTCCAGCTCTTCCAATTTCAAGATATAACCAAAGGACTATGGACATATATCGACAGACATATATATGTATGGATATTTATTTTGTATATGTGCTCATTGGTAGAACAAGAAAGGAATATGAGTCAAGTGTACTTGCAAATTCCAGAGGTTCATAAAGATACCAACCCCCATTAGTATGTAGCCAGTCTCTCTAATGGGACTTAGGCTGTTGAGAGAATAGTTGAACAGCTGGAGGAGGTGTAATTCTAGAAAGCCATCTACCAGCTACATTATAAAATTGTTGATACTAATAGGACTTTATTAAAAGAGGAGAGAAATAGGTGTATGAATGTACGATTCTCTAGTGAGCCTTTCCCTTATGCATGTTTCTGAGGGTAAAGCACAACTGCATGGTAGTGGCCAAACTGAGCTGATGAATCAACTCAGTAAAGTATAAGGATTGTTCTAAGTTCTAAAGCTTCATTTGACATAACAAAAAAAGAAAGCATCAAATTTACAATGAGGGAAGAGACAGGAAAATCCCAAGAAGCTAATGAGCCAGCTAATCTGGCATGTACAGCAGCACACAAGAGACCCTGCCCCAGACAAGATAAAATAAAAAATCCACACCCTGGGTTGTCCTCTGCCATCCGTGTATGCACCATGCAGATGTTTCTACACTCACACATGTGTGTACTCTCATGTATACATCCACAGAGACACATAGACACAGGCACAGACAGACACCACACACACACACACACACACGAGGAAGGGAGTAAAAATAGGTCGAAAATGTCTTACCTGAAATGCTTGGAACTGAAGTTGTTTCTGATTTCAGAGTTATTTGGGTGAGGATTTTTGTATAAACTTTACCAATTGAGCATCCCTAATCTGGAATCAAAAATTTACTATGTTCCAAAATCCAAATCTTTTGGCTTATCATGTCAGCACTCAAAAGATGCTGAATTTTAGGATGTTCAACCCACATGTCAAATTCAACAAAAAAGAGCCCAATAAATTCCAGCAGTAACCATCACTTTTTTAGGATTAGGGGTGGTTGTCAGGACTTTGGCTTTGAAAATGGATTGTTAGGGCTCTTTTCATTGTCTCCTTCTCATTCTGCTGCTTATACAGTTGTGCTAATCACACAAGGAGCTATGGTAACTGAGAGTCATCACAGTATCCTTCACCTGCCCAGAGTAAGCCTTTTGTTAACACAGATCTAAGGGGATGGATGCCATCCCTAGACTAAAAGCCACAAGCAACCCTTGTACTTGGTAAGGTTCAGCAGATTTCTTTAATGCATGTTCCCCAATTTGTTATCTGACTATTTGTCCATGTTCATTATTTTTAAATTGTCATTTTTGACAGTTTTATCTCATGTGATTGCTGTGGATCATGTACCCTTGGGCTTGCAGGAGTCCTAGGTATGTGGCATCACTTTCCCCTCAGCTGCCACACAAAGCAAAGCAAGGTACCTCCACAGTTCTTTCCTAAGGTCTGCCTGTTGGAAGAACGATCACACTGTGACAAAATCCTTTACAAAGTACCAAACTGCTGCCCAGGTGATATTTTTCTACAAGTCTGTTGGATAAATCACTTTCCTTACATTATCTATACAACATTTGCTCAACTATGTTAGTAGCAGCTTTATTCATAATAGCCAGAATCTGGAAACAACCTAGATGTCCCTCAATGGAGGAATGGATACAGAAGTTGTGGTACATTTACACAATGGAATACTACCTAGCAATTAAAAACAAGGACAAGAAATTTGCAGGCAAATGGATGGAACGAGAAAACATCATCCTGAATGAGGTAACCCAGAAACAGAAAGACAGGCGTGGTATACACTCACTTATATGTAGATATTAGCCATAAAATACAGGAAAACCATACTACAATCCACAGATCTGAAGAACCTAAATAAAAAGGAGGACCCACGAAGGATGCTTAATTCTCATTCAGAAGGGCAATTAGCATAGCCACAGGAAGCAGTTGAAGAAAGGGAACAGAATGGGAACTTACCATAAATGTCCTCTGAAAGACTCCACCCAGCATAGGATCAAAGCAGATGCTAATACACAGCCAAACTTTGGGCAGAGCTCAGGAAGTTGTAGGAAAGAGTGTAGGGATAAAAGGACCCGACCCAGAGAGGGCAGGAGTTCCACAAGGAGACAAAGCGAATGAATCTGGACCAAGGGGTCCCTGCCAAGACTGACACACCAACCAACGACCATGCAAGGAGAGGACATAGACTTCCTTCTCAGATGTAGCCAATCTCCATGTGGGTTCCCTAGTAAAGGGAGCAGGGGCTGTCCCTGACATGGACTCTGATGCCCACTCTCTGATCACTTCCCCCATGGCAGGGCAGCCTAGCCAGGCCACAGAGGAAGAGGATGCGGCAGTCCTAATGAGACTTGATGGGCTGAAGTCAAATGGTAGGAGAGGAGGGCACCTCCTTTCTGAGGGCTAGGGGAGGGGGAGGGGGAAAAGAAGGGAAGGTGTGACCGGGAAGAGATGAGGGATGGGGCTACAATCATGATGTAAAGTGAATAAGTGATTAAAAATAATTTTTAAAAAAAGGAAAAAAAAGAGAAAAGGAAAAAAGAAGTAAAAGAAACCACATATTAGAGAAGCAGAAAATTGGAAGGGAAGTTGATATGTGGGCTGAAGAAGAGTAGGAAAGCTACTCATTAAAAAAAAGCAGCTATGGTATTCTCTCTTAGTGAAGTCGTCCTGCTCAATGAAGGAGCCAGGTGCCAGTTTATTTGCCTGCTCCAAGCAGCTTCATGGGTGTCAGTTAACTAAACATTTGTATAAGAATTTACAATTC